TCAGAGTCCTCTCTCAGAGCAGAACACCTTGTTTAGAGCTCTCCTTTCTGAGTGACATGTTATGAACCGTGTGCACGTATGAGCGCGATTGTGTCTCAGATTCAGTTGAAAGAACGCAGATTTATATAACGGTTTCTTTCTTTCACCTGCGACTGAGGCAGGACAGCGGCATACGCACACAGTTTATATCAGTTATATATCAGTATATCAGTTTATATCAACACCATCTAGAGCAGGGGTGGCCAACCCGCGGCTCGTGAGCCGCATGCGGCTCTTTGGCTTGTTCCGTGCGGCTCTCGGGCTTTCACATGACAAGCGTCAAAAACGCCTCGGTGGTGGTGCTGCCATTCATTCCATATGTAGTTCTGACCCATAGTAAAGGCCGACTTCACTCCACTAGCCAGGCCACCAAAACAATCTGACGTCGGCGAACGTCAATTCTGATTGGCCAGATGCGCTGTCAATCACTCTGCAGCCGCTGCCTCAGTTGTTGCAAATATCATAACAAACAACACGTTGCCTCGACCCATGACGTCCGTACGGAAAACAGCTCCTTGGTCGCTGGATGAGGGCAACACCTTCCTCAGTTTGAGGAGAGGACACCAGCGTGAGCTCGATGGTTCCACCAGAAACCAGCTGTTTGTGGAGCTAGCGCTAAGGACGGAGCAGAATGATTCCCACAAACATGACAATGCAGAGAAAAGTTAAAAAGCTTAAAAGTGACAACCGTGAAATGAAAGATTACAGCAGCAGAAGTAGAGGCAGACCCGAAAAGTCTGGAGGTGGTTTGACCAAATGGATTAAATTTACGGACATCGGCTAACACCGGCTAACATGCTAAAACCAGCTACACCAGGAGATAAGCCTGCCTGGTGAGTGTCTGTCTTCAATCAAATGCAAAAGTATCTGGTCTTATACTGAACATGTGTCTGGTTCTAAATCAGCTAAAGTGGTGTTGGTGTTATGTGTCAAATCTATATCTTTTACTAAACGCAGTCAGAGTGAATCATGGTTCAATAAAGACAGTTGTGTTTCTGCTGAACACTGGGTTGAAACTTGATTTTTTTTCTTGGTTAGAGATTGAAAGCGTTCATTTCGGAATCATAATTGATGTTCGCTGACGTGAGATTGTTCTGGTATCGACTCGCCCGGTTAGAACCAGGGCCAAACCATAATAAAAAGTACCGGGGAGCGGCTGAAGCGAGCGGTGGAAGCGCCCGCAAACCGGGGAGAGTTCAGTCCAGCCCTTTAGTACTGTACGAGTCAATTTCTGTCATTATCATGTTGATGACATTTACAATAAATCTGTGTGAGCAGAGCACACCTCTCTCTGCTCAGACAGATTGCATGTGTTTGTGTGTGTGTGTGTGTGTGTGTGAGCGTGTGTAAGGGTTGGGGTGATGTTTATGTAGTGCACATTTGTATGATGTGGCTCTTTGCTTAACACGGTAAAAAAAATTGGCTCTTAGTCTCTGACTGGTTGGCCACCCCTGATCTAGAGCGTCTGAACTCTGGACGAGGTGTTCAGTTTAGTACCATGGAACTTCAACTTTAACACTTTTTTAGCATTTTAACTTGTTTGGGTCTCACTAGTATTAGTGTTACTTACAACAATAGTGTTTTAGTCACCTGTCATGTCATTAGTCAGTTTAACCGAGTAAGTGGCACTCCTTATCAATCTAACTTTGGAGTTATCTCAGGCACGTTTTATTTATAAGTAATACTTTTCTTTTAACAATTAGAACATTCTAGTCCTAGTGGTAAAATGACACCATAACTAAGACAGGAGCTTTTAGAACGAAGCGGTGGAGTTACATGTTTGTGCCAGAAGCTCCTGAGATTAGGGATGGATCTAAAGCCAACTCCAGGTCTGTGACGATGAGGAACATGTTATAACATGGTTAAATGCTTATTTTAGTCAAATCAAATGTTTTATCATTAACAGCATTTGACATAATTCACTTGTTAGAAATATTATAGTTCAATTAAATTTAAATCACAACAGCAGTCGTCGCGGAGGACATTACAATGTTCTCGAATCCTCAACGACAGATCAGTGAGTCAAATAATAACACCACATAGAAGCCCAAGTGCATAAATGCTAATTCATTAAACATTATATAGCGTTGGCAACCGTCTGTTTTGGTGCCACCAAATTCACGGCCCTTCATGTGGGGGCCGTAGACTAGTAGTATCCCGGACGAGCCCCAACCTGTTACTACTCTGGCTCAGGAGCAGAGGAAACCACACAATGAACACAGGTTTTAAGTATTAACAAATATGGTACGTGTGGCAGTGGTGTATGTGTGTGAGGTGGATCAGTATGTGGATAAATCTACTAAACTAAAGTAAAAGTGGAGCAGCCGGTGGTCTGGGCAGCAGAGGAGAGCCACAAGCTGCCAGTTGTGATCCACTTAGGCCGAGGAGGGTCCAGCAACGCCCCCAGCCTTCTGTCCTGACAGGAAGCAGTGAGCTTTCACAATAAGAGGACCTACTTGGGCCGTCACATTATCAATCATTTCCAACTTCTACCACTAGTTGGGGTAGTTTCACTCGCCACAGCCAGTCTTTGTCATAACATGTGTATTTATATATTTTCTAAGAGATTATATGAGATTCTAAAACATGTAACGCCCAACTAAATAATCAGTAGACTATGTTACAGAGACAAACTGAACATAAGTAATGCTGAATGTTCTTTGATAAACAGAATGCATAACCAGTGAGATGCATTTTGAGATGAGTGTTGCTGTTTGCTGATGAATTAAGTCTGAGTGGAACACAACCCCTTGTTGCATTTGGCTCAGCTCACACCTCTCTTCAAACTGATTTACTGCCAGCAACAAACGCCACCACAGCACTCTCCTGTTCGCGCCGCACTGCGAGAAAGAGGATTTGGCCTGTGCATCCAATCAAATATTAATGCCACTGACAGACACAGCCCAAAGAGGACCACTTGGGGCTCATATGCTATGAATGTCAACCTCCTTTGCAAATGTCAAAATACGTAGTCCCAAAGGGGACATCTGCAACTTCAATTGTATTTAATTTTTATAGGAATGCATAGTTTTAACCATATGACCCTCGCTCTGGTATTATCACTAGTAATAGTTTTTTATAATACATTTATTGGATAGAATATATTGAATGGAAACTCCTTGGAATAAATATCAACAGTAAGATTTTCTGGAGGCGAAGACCAATGGTGAGGAGCCTCAGCAGTCTGTTCAGGATTTAAATTCATCGTGTCCAATCAGGAGCCTGTGGGGGCGGGTCTAACCGATCTACCCTGTGGTCAAAAACGTCTCCATCTTAACAACACTAACACGGCAGCCGTGCTTCAAAGTGCTCCTGACTCGCCTTTGGCACAGTTGGGCCTATCAGCTGTGCATCCACTGCACAGAACCGGGAGGACCAGACGATGCCCAAATACATGCGACTTTAGCTAATCTGTCAGCGACCGTGCCGGCACATGCACCACTGAGCACCAGCCATTTGAATACTGCGCCATCTTGGATCGCCGGGGCTTGGAGTGAACTCACCTGAGTTATCGGATTATTAAAACCATAAATGGCTGAACAGAAAATGCCAATTTCACGTTTGCCGCCCACTCTCCCTGTTGTGACAAAGTAAAGAAAATGCTGGATGTTTGGTTTGGTGGAGAGGGAGGGGGGGGTGGTTTTGAGTTGGTGCTACGGCTAAGCTAACAACATTGCTCACTGCATCTTTAACAAGTTATAATGAACACTAACAATGCATGGAATTTGTTGTGAATATTATAAATGTGTGTACATAATGTACATCCTGAACTGTTGTAAGTGGAAGGTGAAACCAGAGCACCCAGTGAAAATCTACAACGACACAGGGAGAACATGTAAACTCCACTTTCTATTCTAGAGGCTGATGAACCCAGGACAAGTACAAGCGCTAACCACTCCACTGTGCCTCAAAAATTAATGTTTGGGTAATTCAAGGACATTTGTTTTCTGCATAATAGCAGATTTTGATATTTCCAAGTCAGCCCTTCACTGCATGTGAATATGTGCGTGCCTTTGTCAGTGTGGAGAGGCACAAAGCATGCAGGCCCCGGGATATTCCCCTGAAGCAGCAGAATCCACCAAAACAGGAAAACGCTGCACAAAAAACCACCTTTATTGATTCCTATGAGTGTAAAGAAAACAGCTTCATCTGCCGTTCGGCTGCAGGGTCCAGCACTCACAACGAGACCAAAGAGGTGTTGTAAACGTGTAAACAAGTGTGTGTGGGTATACAGGCGCCCAGCATTGAATGTGTGGGTATACAGGCGTCCAGCATTGAATGTGTGGGTATACAGGCGCCCAGCATTGAATGTGTGGGTATACAGGCGTCCAGCATTGAATGTGTGGGTATACAGGCGTCCACTCTGAGGCCCTGTTTACACAGACGCTGCGGCAGTAAGATGATAGAGTAGATGATCGGATTGGCCTTCGGTCTGTGCCACTTTAAATCAGTCTATGTGTTTTATCTGTTGCCAGGCGTTGGAGGCAGCAGTCTTTCACAGACCAGAGTCACAAATGGCTTTACAAATGTCTGTGTCTCACTACACAGATGGGTGCGGGGTCGCAGTGCAGACTTAACTGGGCCCTCAGGAGCATGACCACCTGAGCATAAAGTTTACAGGCTTTGGATGTCCCTGTCATAACTTTAGTTGAGTTTTGTTTCGGGATTTTTGTTTATCATCAAATTATATTGAGTTGAGTGTTTATTTATTTCGAGTTCATGGTCATCAAATCATCCATTTACAGATACTTGTTACAATACTGACCTCAGGAGTGGGAGGAAGAAAAACATTTGATAAGTTCCCACCCCTGTGCACACACTTACACCCGTGTGTCCGGAGCCAGAAGCAAAGTAATGCACAACAACACGGCAACAATACTCATTTTGCAGTGTTGTATTTTTGGTCCTTCCTCCTTTCCACCACTCAACAGTAACAGCAGTTGTCTGTAAGAAAGTGTCCGAGATACTAGGACAGAGCTGAAAGTCACAGAAGTTGATGTTTCTTGTTTCTGCCTCTCGTAAGCATGATGTTGCTCTGTGGGGTTGTACTTTATGTCCAATGTCCGTAACTAGAGCATTCTAATGTAGAATGGCACTCTTTAGGAAGAGTTTGCTTACTAGCATCCATAAAGTGCAAAAATAGTTCAAGGCGAGGTATTTTCTACAAATGTATTTCAGTGCATAAATACAGATATCTCACATCTTTCCTGTGCCCTCAAATAAAGACAAACTTTGAATCACATACTTTGAGTCTTGAGATTTAGGCCTTTTAGGATTTTGGAAAGAACACGGAGGATGAGTGGAAGCGCACACCGGGGTAGTCTTGCACAGTTTTTCCAATGTGGTTTTACTGCAAATGGCAAATAAATGAATCTGAATCTGAATCTGAATCTGAAAGCCTGGGACTGATTCAGAATTATTTGTCTTCATTGTGGCCGTAAACATCTATCTTGGGAACAGGAACATTGGCATTTCGCGTTTTTAGTAAAAAATAAATTGGGGGTGTCACGATTAAAACATTTTTTTTTATCGAAATTGATCGAAATTACGCCACGGTCTCGATCATCGAAATGAAAGAGAATCGACAATCACCTCCCCCCAGGTTTACATTCATCAGGGAGGTGAGCAAAGGGATATAAGCACATGACAACGCGGCACATTGTAGCTGACGCCACTAGTTACGGAGTTTATGACGCCATGGCAGGTGCAGATGGAGCGTGTGTGGCTCTCCCAGAAAACAAACTTCTTGAACTCTGCATTGGAGCGTGTCTCTGCAGCCACTGCTTTGCGTATCAACTGTGTCGGTGTGTCGAAGCGTTTCATTGGATAGATTTCCCAGCTCTGCATTGGTTCCAGCGTTAGAACCACACCGGTCCATGTGTAGCCCTAACAATAAAGGGTTATTTATAGCAGCAGATCTGGAGCCGTATTCGGTGGTGGAAAACGCTGGATTGTCATATTTAATTAGCGTTTTTGTGCCACACTCAAGTACGCTACAGTGAGCTGTAAGAAGAAGAAAAATCTAAAATCCAATCGAATTGAGGATTTGTATGTTAACGGGGCGACAGTGGCTCAGTTGGTAGAGTATTGTAGGTCCCACCACGAGACCTACTGTACATGCTGTTGTTGTGTCCTTGGGCAAGACACTTAACCCCACTTTGCCTGAAACCCCCGCTAAAAGATCTCAGCTCCTGTGGACTCAGCACCTGCAAATTGACTGCCCTTCTCACCCAGACATGGATTAAGGGGAAGAAGATGGATGCATTAAGAAAAATCTGTTGATCAGGTAAATTAAGTTGTGTAGCCCTGTTTTAGAACAATGCTCCACATTGATGCAAAGTTAGAAAATGACACAATAATCCATGATCTAAACCTGATTTATGTGGCTCAACATTGGTCGTAATTTGAAGTCATTGTAACATATATTTGCTACAGAAATGATGTGGATCTAGAGAGGGGAGATGTGGGGGGGGGGTCTGACCTGCAAACGTCATGAGCACGTCGCAGTTCTCCGTGGGCACCGTCTTCATCCAAGACTTGTGAGACATGATGTGCCTCCCGGCCTGCAGCAGCCTCTTCCCGAACAGTTTCTCTGAGAGACAGAGAGAGAGGCAGAGATAAGCTTTCTATCAGCCACAACATGAGCGCAGCAAGAAGTAAGACATGTTTATCTAGAAACCACCTTTCACAGTCACAAAATGCTTTTACAATATATATTTATTCATGGATATATTCATTATTTTGGCAGTTTTGATAGATAGATACTTTATTGATCCCTGTAGGAGAAATTCAGGTGTCCAGTAGCAGCAAAAATAAAAATAAAAACATAATAATAGTAATAATCAGCAACAGCCCTTCAGGTCACAGCAGCAGAGGTGGAGTAGCCTCTGGGTGGAGCAGGACAGGTCACAGCAGCAGAGGTGGAGTAGCCTCTGGGTGGAGCAGGACGGGTCACAGCAGCAGAGGTGGTGTAGCCTCTGGGTGGAGCAGGACGGGTCACAGCAGCAGAGGTGGAGTAGCCTCTGGGTGGAGCAGGACGGGACACAGCAGCAGAGGTGGAGTAGCCTCTGGGTGGAGCAGGACGGGACACAGCAGCAGAGGTGGAGTAGCCTCTGGGTGGAGCAGGACGGGTCACAGCAGCAGAGGTGGAGTAGCCTCTGGGTGGAGCAGGACGGGACACAGCAGCAGAGGTGGAGTAGCCTCTGGGTGGAGCAGGACGGGTCACAGCAGCAGAGGTGGAGTAGCCTCTGGGTGGAGCAGGACGGGTCACAGCAGCAGAGGTGGAGTAGCCTCTGGGTGGAGCAGGACGGGACACAGCAGCAGAGGTGGAGTAGCCTCTGGGTGGAGCAGGACTGGTCACAGCAGCAGAGGTGGAGTAGCCTCTGGGTGGAGCAGGACTGGTCACAGCAGCAGAGGTGGAGTAGCCTCTGGATGGAGCAAGACGGGTCACAGCAGCAGAGGTGGAGTAGCCTCTGGGTGGAGCAGGATGGGTCACAGCAGCAGAGGTGGAGTAGCCTCTGGGTGGAGCAGGACGGGTCACAGCAGCAGAGGTGGAGTAGCCTCTGGGTGGAGCAGGATGGGTCACAGCAGCAGAGGTGGAGTAGCCTCTGGGTGGAGCAGGATGGGTCACAGCAGCAGAGGTGGAGTAGCCTCTGGGTGGAGCAGGATGGGTCACAGCAGCAGAGGTGGAGTAGCCTCTGGGTGGAGCAGGACGGGTCACAGCAGCAGAGGTGGTGTAGTCTCATACAAGGAATATGAGCTTCTCCTTGTTTGACTTTTCAAAAGGGAACAAGGAATATGACCCCTTTATGCTCAAAAATGAGATTGACAAAATGTGACTTCATAAAGTGTTCTCTGAGCTGTACTTAAGCCCCTCCTTAAAGACCTTATGACGGGTTTTAAAAAAAAAAATAGTGGATATCAAAATTGCATGACAATGTCAATTTGAAAGAGATTCCGGCAAAAAAAACCCTATATTTTATAAAAAGAACGTGTTTTTCATGAATTTAAGTTGTCTATGCTCTAACCTGTGTGTGACGTCACAGCGGGTTACGCCCATGCATTGAAAACCATGGATCTATGCCACAGGACTGCCTTTTCTCTCTTCTCTCCACTGATGCCCAACACAATACTGCACTCTACAGGTGACAATTGCTCACTACACATAAATTGCCGTTTTGAGTGTGAAAAAATGTCCGAGGTGGGATTTGAACCCAAGTATCTGGATTGGCAGTGCATCAACACAACCACTGGACTATCTCAGTGACAACGTAATGTTACATTCTAGTAGTTATTTTAGACTCGCTGTACACGGCCTTGTCATCTTGAATATCCGCGAAAAAAGAACGAATACCAAATTGTAAACAACTTACAGCGTTGAAACGTACCCACTCTGACGTCACCAAGGGCTGTGAAGTTTTTTCGTCTCTAAGGGCGTTGCTATGGGGTTATTTCGATTTGGGGGGATCAGACAAAAAAAACAACAACTGATTTTGAAACCTTTAGTAGTTCTCTTCTAATATAAAATGGTATTAAAACTGTATTTCTAAATAAATCAAACCCGTCATAAGGTCTTTAAGCCCCTCCACACAGCTCTGGTTACCTTCTGAGGTTACCTTCTGAGGTTACCTTCTGAGGTTACCTTCTGAGGTTACCTTCTGAGGTTACCTTCTGAGGTTACCTTCTGAGGTTACCTTCTGAGGTTACCTTCTGAGTACTTCTCCAGCGTTCCCATGAATATCCCCATGATCTCTGGCTGCCTCTCCGCTGCTGCAATATGAAGCGCTAAACGCAAACACGTCATGGGAGAATGCCAAACCTGCGGTGGGCGAGGGTGGGGGTCTCTGGGGCCGATGTGTGAGTGACCCGCTCACATGTCCCCAGCCATTCACCTTCAAACCCATTTTGGTCGGGGCCGAATATCAAATTATATAAGAAATGTTGTAAAGTGTTTTTCTTTCATTAAACTTATTTTCTAAATTTTGAAAGTATTTTTACAACTTAAACTACCGTTCAAAAGTTTGGGGTCACATTGAAATGTCATTATTTTTGAAGGAAAGTTGTGACTCATGTATTTTTTTCCAAATCCAAACCTACACATTCAGTGGTAGCATCATATCAGCCTCGTTGGCTTGTGCCCTGTTCGGAGGAGCCTACCGTAGCAGTGGACCCAGTATGCCCTGTCCCAGACCCAACAGGAGCCTACCGCAGCAGTGGACCCAGTATGCCCTGTCCCAGACCCAACAGGAGCCTACCGCAGCAGTGGACCCAGTATGCCCTGTCCCAGACCCAGCAGGAGCCTACCGCAGCAGTGGACCCACCATGCCCTGTCCCAGACCCAACAGGAGCCTACCGCAGCAGTGGACCCACCATGCCCTGTCCCAGGCCCAACAGGAGCCTACCGCAGCAGTGGACCCACCATGCCCTGTCCCAGGCCCAACAGGAGCCAACCACAGCAGTGGACCCACCATGCCCTGTCCCAGACCCAGCAGGAGCCTACCGCAGCAGTGGACCCAGTATGCCCTGTCCCAGACCCAGCAGGAGCCTACCGCAGCAGTGGACCCACCATGCCCTGTCCCAGACCCAACAGGAGCCTACCGCAGCAGTGGACCCACCATGCCCTGTCCCAGGCCCAACAGGAGCCTACCGCAGCAGTGGACCCACCATGCCCTGTCCCAGACCCAACAGGAGCCTACCGCAGCAGTGGACCCACCATGCCCTGTCCCAGGCCCAACAGGAGCCTACCGCAGCAGTGGACCCACCATGCCCTGTCCCAGGCCCAACAGGAGCCAACCACAGCAGTGGACCCACCATGCCCTGTCCCAGACCCAGCAGGAGCCTACCGCAGCAGTGGACCCACCATGCCCTGTCCCAGACCCAGCAGGAGCCTACCGCAGCAGTGGACCCACCATGCCCTGTCCCAGACCCAACAGGAGCCTACCGCAGCAGTGGACCCAGTATGCCCTGTCCCAGACCCAACAGGAGCCTACCGCAGCAGTGGACCCAGTATGCCCTGTCCCAGACCCAACAGGAGCCTACCGCAGCAGTGGACCCACCATGCCCTGTCCCAGACCCAACAGGAGCCTACCGCAGCAGTGGACCCACCATGCCCTGTCCCAGGCCCAACAGGAGCCTACCGCAGCAGTGGACCCAGTATGCCCTGTCCCAGACCCAACAGGAGCCTACCGCAGCAGTGGACCCAGTATGCCCTGTCCCAGACCCAACAGGAGCCTACCGCAGCAGTGGACCCACCATGCCCTGTCCCAGACCCAACAGGAGCCTACCGCAGCAGTGGACCCAGTATGCCCTGTCCCAGACCCAACAGGAGCCTACCGCAGCAGTGGACCCACCATGCCCTGCCCCAGACCCAACAGGAGCCTACCGCAGCAGTGGACCCACCATGCCCTGTCCCAGACCCAACAGGAGCCTACCGCAGCAGTGGACCCACCATGCCCTGTCCCAGGCCCAACAGGAGCCTACCGCAGCAGTGGACCCACCATGCCCTGTCCCAGACCCAGCAGGAGCCTACCGCAGCAGTGGACCCACCATGCCCTGTCCCAGACCCAGCAGGAGCCTACCGCAGCAGTGGACCCAGTATGCCCTGCCCCAGACCCAACAGGAGCCTACCGCAGCAGTGGACCCAGTATGCCCTGTCCCAGACCCAACAGGAGCCTACCGCAGCAGTGGACCCACCATGCCCTGTCCCAGACCCAGCAGGAGCCTACCGCAGCAGTGGACCCACCATGCCCTGCCCCAGACCCAACAGGAGCCTACCGCAGCAGTGGACCCACCATGCCCTGCCCCAGACCCAACAGGAGCCTACCGCAGCAGTGGACCCACCATGCCCTGTCCCAGACCCAACAGGAGCCTACCGCAGCAGTGGACCCACCATGCCCTGTCCCAGACCCAACAGGAGCCTACCGCAGCAGTGGACCCAGTATGCCCTGTCCCAGACCCAACAGGAGCCTACCGCAGCAGTGGACCCACCATGCCCTGTCCCAGACCCAGCAGGAGCCTACCGCAGCAGTGGACCCAGTATGCCCTGTCCCAGACCCAACAGGAGCCTACCGCAGCAGTGGACCCACCATGCCCTGCCCCAGACCCAACAGGAGCCTACCGCAGCAGTGGACCCAGTATGCCCTGTCCCAGACCCAGCAGGAGCCTACCGCAGCAGTGGACCCACCATGCCCTGTCCCAGACCCAACAGGAGCCTACCGCAGCAGTGGACCCACCATGCCCTGTCCCAGACCCAGCAGGAGCCTACCGCAGCAGTGGACCCAGCATGCCCTGTCCCAGACCCAGCAGGAGCCTACCGCAGCAGTGGACCCACCATGCCCTGTCCCAGACCCAGCAGGAGCCTACCGCAGCAGTGGACCCACCATGCCCTGTCCCAGACCCAACAGGAGCCTACCGCAGCAGTGGACCCACCATGCCCTGTCCCAGACCCAGCAGGAGCCTACCGCAGCAGTGGACCCACCATGCCCTGTCCCAGACCCAACAGGAGCCTACCGCAGCAGTGGACCCAGTATGCCCTGTCCCAGACCCAACAGGAGCCTACCGCAGCAGTGGACCCAGTATGCCCTGTCCCAGACCCAACAGGAGCCTACCGCAGCAGTGGACCCACCATGCCCTGTCCCAGACCCAACAGGAGCCTACCGCAGCAGTGGACCCACCATGCCCTGTCCCAGACCCAGCAGGAGCCTACCGCAGCAGTGGACCCACCATGCCCTGTCCCAGACCCAGCAGGAGCCTACCGCAGCAGTGGACCCACCATGCCCTGTCCCAGACCCAGCAGGAGCCTACCGCAGCAGTGGACCCACCATGCCCTGTCCCAGACCCAGCAGGAGCCTACCGCAGCAGTGGACCCACCATGCCCTGTCCCAGACCCAACAGGAGCCTACCGCAGCAGTGGACCCACCATGCCCTGTCCCAGGCCCAACAGGAGCCTACCGCAGCAGTGGACCCAGTATGCCCTGCCCCAGACCCAACAGGAGCCTACCGCAGCAGTGGACCCACCATGCCCTGTCCCAGACCCAGCAGGAGCCTACCGCAGCAGTGGACCCACCATGCCCTGTCCCAGACCCAACAGGAGCCTACCGCAGCAGTGGACCCACCATGCCCTGTCCCAGACCCAACAGGAGCCTACCGCAGCAGTGGACCCACCATGCCCTGTCCCAGGCCCAACAGGAGCCTACCGCAGCAGTGGACCCACCATGCCCTGCCCCAGACCCAACAGGAGCCTACCGCAGCAGTGGACCCAGTATGCCCTGTCCCAGACCCAGCAGGAGCCTACCGCAGCAGTGGACCCACCATGCCCTGTCCCAGACCCAGCAGGAGCCTACCGCAGCAGTGGACCCACCATGCCCTGTCCCAGACCCAACAGGAGCCTACCGCAGCAGTGGACCCACCATGCCCTGTCCCAGGCCCAACGGGAGCCTACCGCAGCAGTGGACCCACCATGCCCTGTCCCAGACCCAACAGGAGCCTACCGCAGCAGTGGACCCAGTATGCCCTGCCCCAGACCCAACAGGAGCCTACCGCAGCAGTGGACCCACCATGCCCTGTCCCAGACCCAGCAGGAGCCTACCGCAGCAGTGGACCCACCATGCCCTGTCCCAGACCCAACAGGAGCCTACCGCAGCAGTGGACACACCATGCCCTGTCCCAGACCCAGCAGGAGCCTACCGCAGCAGTGGACCCACCATGCCCTGTCCCAGGCCCAACAGGAGCCTACCGCAGCAGTGGACCCACCATGCCCTGTCCCAGACCCAGCAGGAGCCTACCGCAGCAGTGGACCCACCATGCCCTGTCCCAGACCCAACAGGAGCCTACCGCAGCAGTGGACCCACCATGCCCTGTCCCAGACCCAGCAGGAGCCTACCGCAGCAGTGGACCCACCATGCCCTGCCCCAGACCCAGCAGGAGCCTACCGCAGCAGTGGACCCACCATGCCCTGTCCCAGACCCAGCAGGAGCCTACCGCAGCAGTGGACCCACCATGCCCTGTCCCAGACCCAACAGGAGCCTACCGCAGCAGTGGACCCAGTATGCCCTGTCCCAGACCCAACAGGAGCCTACCGCAGCAGTGGACCCACCATGCCCTGTCCCAGACCCAACAGGAGCCTACCGCAGCAGTGGACCCACCATGCCCTGTCCCAGACCCAGCAGGAGCCTACCGCAGCAGTGGACCCACCATGCCCTGTCCCAGACCCAGCAGGAGCCTACCGCAGCAGTGGACCCACCATGCCCTGTCCCAGACCCAACAGGAGCCTACCGCAGCAGTGGACCCACCATGCCCTGTCCCAGGCCCAACAGGAGCCTACCGCAGCAGTGGACCCACCATGCCCTGTCCCAGGCCCAACAGGAGCCTACCGCAGCAGTGGACCCACCATGCCCTGTCCCAGGCCCAACAGGAGCCTACCGCAGCAGTGGACCCACCATGCCCTGTCCCAGGCCCAACAGGAGCCTACCGCAGCAGTGGACCCACCATGCCCTGTCCCAGGCCCAACAGGAGCCTACCGCAGCAGTGGACCCACCATGCCCTGTCCCAGGCCCAACAGGAGCCTACCGCAGCAGTGGACCCAGTATGCCCTGCCCCAGACCCAGCAGGAGCCTACCGCAGCAGTGGACCCACCATGCCCTGTCCCAGGCCCAACAGGAGCCTACCGCAGCAGTGGACCCACCATGCCCTGTCCCAGACCCAACAGGAGCCTACCGCAGCAGTGGACCCACCATGCCCTGTCCCAGGCCCAACAGGAGCCTACCGCAGCAGTGGACCCACCATGCCCTGTCCCAGACCCAACAGGAGCCTACCGCAGCAGTGGACCCACCATGCCCTGTCCCAGACCCAACAGGAGCCTACCGCAGCAGTGGACCCACCATGCCCTGTCCCAGACCCAACAGGAGTCTACCGCAGCAGTGGACCCACCATGCCCTGTCCCAGACCCAGCAGGAGCCTACCGCAGCAGTGGACCCAGTATGCCCTGTCCCAGACCCAGCAGGAGCCTACCGCAGCAGTGGACCCACCATGCCCTGTCCCAGACCCAGCAGGAGCCTACCGCAGCAGTGGACCCACCATGCCCTGTCCCAGACCCAGCAGGAGCCTACCGCAGCAGTGGACCCACCATGCCCTGTCCCAGACCCAACAGGAGCCTACCGCAGCAGTGGACCCACCATGCCCTGTCCCAGGCCCAACAGGAGCCTACCGCAGCAGTGGACCCACCATGCCCTGTCCCAGGCCCAACAGGAGCCTACCGCAGCAGTGGACCCACCATGCCCTGTCCCAGGCCCAACAGGAGCCTACCGCAGCAGTGGACCCACCATGCCCTGTCCCAGGCCCAACAGGAGCCTACCGCAGCAGTGGACCCACCATGCCCTGTCCCAGGCCCAACAGGAGCCTACCGCAGCAGTGGACCCACCATGCCCTGTCCCAGGCCCAACAGGAGCCTACCGCAGCAGTGGACCCAGTATGCCCTGCCCCAGACCCAGCAGGAGCCTACCGCAGCAGTGGACCCACCATGCCCTGTCCCAGGCCCAACAGGAGCCTACCGCAGCAGTGGACCCACCATGCCCTGTCCCAGGCCCAACAGGAGCCTACCGCAGCAGTGGACCCACCATGCAGAGGACAGTCAGACCAGAACAGCACCATGTGCAACCGCCTCATTAAATACTCATACCAACCAGCTAACCAGCTGAAGTCCTGACTCCTGGACAATCTGCCAACATGGCTGAGCAGAAACACTGAGAGCAGGTGCATGAATGCAGTGAACATGAACAATAGGGTTGTGAGCAATAGCTGTGGATTTGAGCAACAGTTTGTTTCCAAAGTGAATGGCTCCGTGCTGCGACGCTGTGGCTCCAGTTGTTGACGTTTTTAGCTGCTGTATTTTTACATAATCCCCTGTGACCCCGTCCCCATGGGACTACAGATGAAAATTAGCCTTTGGCTACAATCTGAAGTGTCGACAAATATGTTCAACCATATTATTCATTTAACTGTCCCAGTCAAATGAATTAATAAATATAAATACAAAAATTATATTGTTAAAAAATGCGAAAGGAAGGAGGAAAGAACATTTTTTCATTTCTATAAAAGTTGCTTTGAGATAGTTGTAGCAGTCCCTAGGATGAAGACTGACTCTTCTTCAGGCAGAAGAGACACATTTTCAGAATGATTATTTATAATATTATTATTATATTATATTTCTGATACGGTCCTTTTTTATTTTATTGTATTGTTTATTTGGTTGGGACAGTACATGTTCATGAACACACCCTGAACTATTGCTCATGTTTTTAGTGGTAGGGGAAACCGGAGTACCCGGAGGAAACCTACGCAGACACGGGGAGAACATGCAGACTCCACTCAGAAAGAACATGTTCCGACCCGGATTCGAACCCAGGACCTTCTTGCTGAGAAGTGAGAGTGCTAACCACTCAGCCACCGTGCCTTAAGTAGTTAAGCTTCTGTAGAAGGCGGCCATGACACCAGTGAGCCATCCTTCCACACCATCAGCCACCATCGCAGTATCCAGTGGCACCAGACTGTGCTTTTGTGTTTCAGACTCAGATTCATAAATACAGTGAGTGAACTCTTTATAACGCAGCATTTGCTCAAATACATGGAACGTGATAGACATCAATAACTGCAGCTTATAATGAAGTCCTAACGAGCAGCTTACACCGCCTAACGAGACTGTCATTAACACTTTCCTCTCAGTAAACTAAATACAGCTGATTATTATGGTATACTTATGGTATAATCATAAACATGGTTTGGTGTTAAACACTAAAGACTCAAGAGAAATGATAGAAGTGACGTCACCTCAATTGGAACAAGTGGATCTCTGCTCTATCCCCGTGAGCCCGCCCCCCCCAGCGCCGTGATGCAGCCCGGGGAGTGAAAGTCCAGTTTCATGGTAACCATAGTTTCATGGTAACCATAGTTTCATGGTAACCATAGTTTCATGGTAACCATAGTTTCATGGTAACCATAGTTTCATGGTAACCATAGTTTCATGGTAACCATAGTTTCATGGTAACCATAGTTTCATGGTAACCATAGTTTCATGGTAACCATAGTTTCATGGTAACCATAGTTCTAGAACAGTCTTTGGTGAAGTGTCGCTTGCAGCAAAACAGATTCTATTCCCGAGGATCGTCTCTGAAATCTGTGAAGAAAGTCCAGCCACATTCGCCTCATTCTTTGTCTTTGAGCAATCCAAATATGGCCGTCACATATTCACACTAAAAAAACACATTCTCCCCAAGTTGACATGATGCTAATACTTTTAGCCGGTGACAATAGCAGAAGAAGGCAAGTTTATTTGTATAGCACAACTCAAAGTGCTGAACAAAATAAGAAAGCATTATAATCATAAATAATCACAGAACATTAAAAAGAAAGATAAAAATATAAAATCCCTCAGTTGTAGCACAGTTAAACAGAACTGTCTTTAACCTGGTTTTAAACATTGTCAGAGAGGAGGCCTGTCTCACATCTTCAGGAAGATTGTTCCAGATTTTAGCAGCATGAATCTGAAAAGCAGCCTCCCCATGTTTAGTTCTGACTCTGGGCACTAACAGGAGTCCAGTCCCTGTGCTCCTCAGAGTCCCAGCAGGAGTCCAGTCCCTGTGCTCCTCAGAGTCCCAGCAGGAGGCCAGTCCCTGTGCTCCTCAGAGTCCCAGCAGGAGTCCAGTCCCTGTGCTCCTCAGAGTCCCAGCAGGAGTCCAGTCCCTGTGCTCCTCAGAGTCTCAGCAGGAGTCCAGTCCCTGTGCTCCTCAGAGTCCCAGCAGGAGTCCAGTCCCTGTGCTCCTCAGAGTCCCAGCAGGAGTCCAGTCCCTGTGCTCCTCAGAGTCTCAGCAGGAGTCCAGTCCCTGTGCTCCTCAGAGTCCCAGCAGGAGTCCAGTCCCTGTGCTCCTCAGAGTCCCAGCAGGAGTCCAGTCCCTGTGCTCCTCAGAGTCCCAGCAGGAGTCCAGTCCCTGTGCTCCTCAGAGTCCCAGCAGGAGTCCAGTCCCTGTGCTCCTCAGAGTCCCAGCAGGAGTCCAGTCCCTGTGCCCCTCAGAGTCCCAGCAGGAGTCCAGTCCCTGTGCTCCTCAGAGTCCCAGCAGGAGTCCAGTCCCTGTGCCCCTCAGAGTCCCAGCAGGAGTCCAGTCCCTGTGCTCCTCAGAGTCCCAGCAGGAGTCCAGTCCCTGTGCTCCTCAGAGTCCCAGCAGGAGGCCAGTCCCTGTGCTCCTCAGAGTCCCAGCAGGAGTCCAGTCCCTGTGCTCCTCAGAGTCCCAGCAGGAGGCCAGTCCCTGTGCTCCTCAGAGTCCCAGCAGGAGGCCAGTCCCTGTGCTCCTCAGAGTCCCAGCAGGAGGCCAGTCCCTGTGCTCCTCAGAGTCCCAGCAGGAGTCCAGTCCCTGTGCTCCTCAGAGTCTCAGCAGGAGTCCAGTCCCTGTGCTCCTCAGAGTCCCAGCAGGAGTCCAGTCCCTGTGCTCCTCAGAGTCCCAGCAGGAGTCCAGTCCCTGTGCCCCTCAGAGTCCCAGCAGGAGTCCAGTCCCTGTGCCCCTCAGAGTCCCAGCAGGAGTCCAGTCCCTGTGCTCCTCAGAGTCCCAGCAGGAGTCCAGTCCCTGTGCTCCTCAGAGTCCGGGCTGGTTCATATGGGACTAACATGTCACTAATATATTTTGGTGCGAGGCCATGGAGAGACTTGTAACAAGCAGAGCTGTTTTAAAGTCTATTCTCTGAGCCACAGGAAGCCAGTGCAGAGACCTGAGGACTGGACTAATGTGGTCGTACTTCCTGGTTCTAGTCAGGACTAATGTGGTCGTACTTCCTGGTTCTAGTCAGGACTAATGTGGTCGTACTTCCTGGTTCTAGTCAGGACTAATGTGGTCGTACTTCCTGGTTCTAGTCAGGACTAATGTGGTCGTACTTCCTGGTTCTAGTCAGGACTAATGCGGTCGTACTTCCTGGTTCTAGTCAGGACTAATGTGGTCGTACTTCCTGGTTCTAGTCAGGACTAATGCGGTCGTACTTCCTGGTTCTAGTCAGGACTAATGTGGTCGTACTTCCTGGTTCTAGTCAGGACTAATGCGGTCGTACTTCCTGGTTCTAGTCAGGACTAATGTGGTCGTACTTCCTGGTTCTAGTCAGGACTAATGTGGTCGTACTTCCTGGTTCTAGTCAGGACTAATGTGGTCGTACTTCCTGGTTCTAGTCAGGACTAATGTGGTCGTACTTCCTGGTTCTAGTCAGGACTAATGTGGTCGTACTTCCTGGTTCTAGTCAGGACTAATGTGGTCGTACTTCCTGGTTCTAGTCAGGACTAATGTGGTCGTACTTCCTGGTTCTAGTCAGGACTAATGTGGTCGTACTTCCTGGTTCTAGTCAGGACTAATGTGGTCGTACTTCCTGGTTCTAGTCAGGACTAATGTGGTCGTACTTCCTGGTTCTTGTCAGGACTAATGTGGTCGTACTTCCTGGTTCTAGTCAGGACTAATGTGGTCGTACAATGAAGAGTATTGGAGGAGATTGTTTTTGTTGAAAGACATATTTAAATAAGGAAAACTTCCCAAGAGACGTTCTATGGGAGACAAAGTGGTCTCTGAAAATGGCAGCTAAGCCTCCTCCTTTTTGTTTTCACAAATTTCAGATTCAATTTTGAAATTTGGTGGTGATGCTTCTATTAAAACTACATTTCTTGTATTTTGGTCAAGCCAAGTTTCAGCCATGAACATAAGATCTAGATTATAAGAACAAAGACGAGCGGGCTGCATGCGCTGATGTTCTGACTTCTCCCTGACATGATTTGAAGGAGTCAAGGAAAAATATTTGTGGCCAAATAGCACTTTAATGATGTTTAAAGCATAGACAAGTTTAGAAGTGTGATATGGACTCTTTAAGGAGTATGTTAAGGATTGTCAGATCAAATATGTTGTAATTAGTGAAAGAATAATCGTGTGTATTTGTACTCACTGGTCCTGGCTCCTCACTGCATGAGCTCTGAACACCTGCTTCCTCCACATGATAAGACTGTTCTGTCCTCTGAGCGCAGGCTGCAGACAGGACCTGACACACATGTTAATGAGGTGTGGGGTCCTCTGAGCGCAGGCTGCAGACAGGACCTGATACACATGTTAATGAGGTGTGGGGTCCTCTGAGCGCAGGCTGCAGACAGGACCTGACACACATGTTAATGAGGTGTGGGGTCCTCTGAGCGCAGGCTGCAGACAGGACCTGACACACATGTTAATGAGGTGTGGGGTCCTCTGAGCGCAGGCTGCAGACAGGACCTGACACACATGTTAATGAGGTGTGGGTCAGGTCCTGTGAGCGCAGGCTGCAGACAGGACCTGACACACATGTTAATGAGGTGTAGGGTCCTCTGAGCGCAGGCTGCAGACAGGACCTGACACACATGTTAATGAGGTGTGGGGTCCTCTGAGCGCAGGCTGCAGACAGGACCTGACACACATGTTAATGAGGTGTGGGGTCCTCTGAGCGCAGGCTGCAGACAGGACCTGACACACATGTTAATGAGGTGTGGGGTCCTCTGAGCGCAGGCTGCAGACAGGACCTGACACACATGTTAATGAGGTGTAGGGTCCTCTGAGCGCAGGCTGCAGACAGGACCTGACACACATGTTAATGAGGTGTAGGGTCCTCTGAGCGCAGGCTGCAGA